CGTAAATCTTTTCTGTACCCCTGTAAAGCCTCACACCCTCTCTAAAGTATGGTTCCAAAGTGTGGGGTCCAGAACTGGACACAATCCTCAACTTGAAGCAGAACCTGTATTTGCAAAAAGGTTTGACTGTTACCCACATCAACCAAATCAAAAATCTCACCTAAATCCGTTAAATGCGATTTGCCTTTAATGCATCTGTGCTAGCTTTTCTTCATTAATCGCCTTTACCCAAGCAACTGTTAACTTTGTCACAGATTATCATTTCTAAAAGTTATTTTAAAATCCTTGTAGTCTTGCAGCCATTGCAGCAGTACAATTTTCTAAACCGGTGACCGCAACAGTAATGCACTTTTCTTTTTTATTAACTTTTGCCACTTCTTGTATCTTCCTCTGTTTTGTATCTCACTCTTCTCAGCCACCTATTCAGTTTTTTTTTAAACTTTTATGTAAAGGTTCAAGCAGCTCTGGAGGTAGTGAAAATATTGCACAATTGCTGCCTGTTTATTACTCGGTGCGTGTAGAACCATTCCGCATTGACTGGTGCATTTGGTATGATTAGGATCAGCACAAGAGACATAGCTGCAGTTCAGTTTTACTGAGATAAACTTCACTTACACCATAAGACAGAGAGACTTTGTAACCCGGCATTAGAGATGCAATATTGCATTGATTTCATTGAATAAAATTGAGTCTAGCTTGCTGGTCTATAATGCAACCTACTTAATGTTAATTCCAAAGTGGATTGGAGTGAAATGTACAGGAAAATAAATAGGTGCTAAAAAAAGTACAAATTTTGAGGGGTGATGAAAGTTTACGAACAGAATAAGATTTTAAAAAGTCTTTTCAAATTGGGGAGAGAAGTAAGTTGGTAGAGTGGTTTTGAGCTGGAGCTCCAGAGAATATAATTGAGCTGGCTAAAGATACTCACCACTAGTGGGTCTAAGAGAGGGCCAAATACTTAACCAGAGTTAGAGGAATGAAGACAATAAAAGGAGCTGTAAGGCTGGAGGAGATCATAGAGTCATTGTGTATGAAAGATATGATTATAGTGAGGTTGTAGAGCACTTTAAGGATGAAGTTAGTGAATTAAAATTAGAATCATGGAATCAAAAATCCCTACAATACAGAAAGAGACCATTCGTCCCATCAAGTATGCACCAACCTTCCAAAGACATCCCATCCAGACCCAGCCCCCTAGTCTGTCCCCATAACGCTGGATTTTTCCCATGGCTAATCCACATATCCTGCAAATCACAAGTCAGTATGGACAATTTAGCGTAGCCAATCTGCCTAATCTGCACATCTTTTGACTGTGAGGATGGCAGGAATCCCAAGAAATGCTGTAAACATATCAAAGGAAGAGGATAACCAGGGAAAGAGTAGGGCAAATTAGGGACCAAAGAGGCAATCTGTGATGGAGCAGGATGACTTTGGTGGGGTGTTAAGTGAATACTTCACACCTGTTTTCATTTTGGAGAAGGAAGATGTAGGTACAGAATTCAGGAAGAGAGAGAATGAGGTTCTTGAGCAGTTTGACATTGGGAGTGAGGAGGCACTGGCAGGCTTAAACATGGACAGATTCCCAAATCTCAACGAGCTGTATCCCAGGCTGCCGTGGGAGATGAGGGAGGAAATTATAGGGGCCCTGACCTAAAATTTTAATTCCTCTCTGGCTGTAGCAGAGGTTCTACAGTATTGGAGGACAGCAATTGTGTTTCCACTTTTCAAGCAGGGTGGTAGAGATAAGCCAGGGAATTACAGACCAGTGCGTCTCACATCAGCGGTAGGGAAACTATTGAAGAAAACTCAGGAGGAGAGAATCAATCTCCACTTGGAGAGGCAAGGTTTCATTGCACATAGTAAACAGGGCTTTGTCAGAGAGAAATCATACTTAACACATTTGATTGCATTTCTCGTGGAGGTGACCAGGTGTGTAGATGAGTGTAGTACAGTTGATGTAGTTTATTTGGATTGTTAAAGAAGGTATAAGCACATGGGGTCCAGAGCAAATTGGCATGTTGGGTCCAAAATTGGTTTAGTAGGAGATAGAAGGTGGTGGTAAAAGGCTGTTTGTGTGACTGGAACCCGGTGTCCAGTAGCTTACCACAGTGATCAGTGTTGTGTCCCTTATTATTTTTGATATACATAAATGGTATAGAAGAAAGTGTGGGAGCGATGATAAGTATATTTGTGGATGATATGAAGATTGGTCAGATAGTTGTCAGTGAGGAAGAAGGTCTTAGGTTACAAGAGGATAAGATGGGTTGGACATATCAGTGGTAAATGGAACTTAACCCTGAAAAGTATGAGGTGATGCAGTTTGGAAGAAGGAACAAGACAAGGGAGTACTCAATGAACGGCAGGACATGAGGAAGTTCAGAGCAACAGAGAGATCTTGAGGTGCTTGTCCATAGATCCTTGAAGGTGGCAGGATGGGCTAATAGTGTAGTTAAGAAGGCATACAGGACACTTGCCTTTATCACTCATGGAGTAGATTATGAGAGTATGTTGGAGCTATACAGGATTTTGGTTAGGCCACAGCTGGAGTACTGTGTGCAGTTCTGGTCACTGCACTATAGAAAAGATGTGATTGCACTGGAGGGGGTGCAGAGAAGATTCACCAGGATGTTGGCCTGGGATGGAGCAGGTTAGCCATGAAGAGAGGCTGGATAAGCTCGGGCTGTTTCCTTTAGAGCAGAGAAGGCTGAGAGGGGACCAGATTAAAGTAGTTAAGATTATGAAGGACATAGACAGGGTGGATGCAAAGCAGCCATTCCCCTTAGTTGAAGGATCAGTGACAAGGGACATAATTTCAAGGTGAAAGGCAGAAGGTTTAGAGGGGATATGAGGATAAAGGTTTTCACCCAGAGGGTGGTGGGAATGCATTGTCTGGGAGGGTAGTTGATGCAGGAAACCACACAACTTTAAAAAAGTAGGTAGATGTGCACTTGAAATGTCATAATCTTCTAGGCTATGGGCCAAGTGCTGGAAAGTGGGATTAGTGTTGATTTAAAGTAATTTTTGTTGGTGCAGACTCGATGGGCTGAATTTCCTCTTCTGTATTGTCTGATTCCATGAAAACTGAATACAGTGTGCAGCAAGAATCCAAGTCAGTAAAACCTATAGGTTTTAATGCCATAAAAATATGGAAATAATTAACATCTGAGGCAAGTTGAATTAATAGAAAGAGTTGGATGAAGTTCAGTAAAGGAGGACATTAAGCTCAAGTTTGAAGAAGATTTGAAGCATCACTACACTTAAAGATACATTTATGATGCAAATTCAAAGACTGAGCTCCATGACCTTATTTATGCTCTGCCTTCCTCTTGTACAAACCAAAGCAGTGAAGATTGAGGATGTCACAATTTTCCTTCTTGCTGGTTGCATCAGAGGCTTTGTCAAGATTCTTAAAATCTCAGTAGCCCGGGGACTGGGGAATCCGCTGAATTAGGTACCTTTTTAGAAAAAATAACTATTGAACATTGCCTGAACAACATGATAGAATTCAACCTACCATTTAATAGAAATTACATATAATCAATATTGGAGATCTTAAACGATTCTGTATATTTTAGTGGTCATCTGGATTAAATCCATCCTTGCCAGGAGGTCTCAGTCAAGAAGGAAGTTTAAATCGGAAGGGGACTTTGGAGATTGGCTATATTTCCTGCATGGTTAAAGGACATTTGCAATCTGATGTTGCCATTGTTCTCCAGATATAGAGAGCACCTCCTAATTTAAGACATGGTGGCCGTTTACTCTCTGGTTGAGGCATGATATAAATTGGCCTCATTTGAAAAGATGAGTTCAGAATGGGGATTGCAGATGACAAGGGCAGCAACACTTAGATTGATGTATTGATTTTGGATGCTTGCTACATTTCTCCTCCACTGAATATCTGTTGTGGTTAACAGTTTGATTGCTGTGGGAGAGAGACACAAGTAGTAACTATGGGCATTATTGTTGGACAACAAGTAACACATTTACCAGGTTTTTTGACTTGTATTTAATGGGCCGTCTACTTGTCTTCATAGTGCAACAAAACAGTTGTGCAAAAAAAAATTGATGCGTTCAATTCTCCTCTACTTATTAAAAGCATAGCGACCTCAGATTCAGAGGCAGACATGAAAGAGATTGACTAACAGAGAAGGGGCTTTGGGAAAATAATGCTGAAATAATAACATCATAAATTGTGAGCAATAAGATCAGTAGACTGTTTTATGTACCAACAGATCAGTCACATGATTTGATGACCAAGTGTGAAAGAACAACTAGTGCTATCTGAATATATACTTGGATGTAAAATGAAACAACAGCCAATACTGTAATAATGTCAAAGAACGGGGCAGTGCTGGCACTTCTTCTTTCAAACAATCATGTTGCCAATAAAAAGTAAAAGGCTTACATTTAGGCAGCACCTTCTACACTGCAAGTACAATTATGTACTTATTTGAAGCATGGCAGCTGTTGTAAATAGGATCAATTGGGCTGAATGTGGCAAAAAGTAACATTTCAAGTTACAAAACAGGTTTATTAGGTATGTGACACTCCTGTGATACACAAGGTATTGAAGGAGTGTAGAAAAGGGGCAAACATTCTTCCAGTATAGGATCGTAGCAACCCAGGAGAAGGCTATTCTCCTCCTCCATCATTCAATGAGAGTACGGAAACATATGGAGGAGGGCTGGCACAAATACGAAAGTAACAAGCAATTATAATGAAGATACATTTTGGGACAAAGAAAACATAAAAGCCTTTGTTGTGATAATTATACCAGTGTCATGATGCATTACAGGCAATAACAAAACCAAACCTGTCCTCTTGGCTTAATGTGGAGAAGGCAGTCGATCACCTCTCTTTACAATGTCATCAAAGTCTGCTGTTACTCTTTTTCTTTCTCCACAGACACTGCCTGACCTGCTTGAGTACTTCCATCATTTTCTGCCTCTATTTCAGATTGTCAGTATCTGCAATATTTTGCTTTTGTCTTGTCAATTTAGAAACTGCTTTACTGTGGTCTACAAGCTGGTGCTGCAAGAACCACCAGGAGAACGCCAAGGGAAAGGAAAGAGGAAGAAAGTGTGGAGAGACCAAAAAGCATCTCAGAGGCAGTCATCATATCTCGCGGGATGTAATTGATTTGTGTTCTCTCCCATTCCTACCATCCTGGTGTAATATTTTACTTGTTTCTAAAAATATGTCTAATACATCTATTACCTGTTCTGCACATGTTAGTCAACATATTCCTAATTTTTAATTCTCTCAAAATAGAAGGAAACATAACTTAAAAACATAACTTAAAACCATTCTTCACTTTCTATGACATTCATTGTCGTTCTTTTAAAAATCCGAAGATTAGCATCACCACCAGTAGGAACAGATGTTTTATCAACTCACACTTTGGGAAGTACATAAACAGTTTGATCACTGAGATGTCCATCACAAAATATTAAACTGAGATAGCTTGTGTAGACGTTCAGTCATATGTATCTTAGGACTTGCTGCAGGTAGCAATCATGCTTCATTCATGGATGTGGGAATCGCTGGCTAGGCCATCATTTACTGTTCATCCCCAGTTGCCTTAGAGAAGGTAGTGCTGCGCTCCCTTTGTTAACCAAAAGAACTGTGGATGCTGTAAAAAAGAAACAAAAACAGAAATTGCTGCAAAAGTTCTGAGGAAGGGTCACCAGACCCGAAGCATTAACTCTGATTTCTCTTCACAGTTACCGCCAGACCTGCTGAGCTTTTCCAGCAACTTCTGCTTTTGTCCCTTCTTTAACCTGTGTGTTCCATTTACTGTAGGTACATACACAATGCTGTTCGGGGGCAGTTCCACAATTTTGACCCAATGACATTGAAGGAATTTGCTTAACATATGAGGAGCATTTGAGGACTCTGGGACTATACTCATTGGAGTTTAGAAGGATGAGGGGTGATCTAATTGAAACTTTCAGAATAATGAATGGCCTGGACAAAATGGCTGTTGGGAAGATGCTTCCATTGGTAGGAGAGTCTAGGACCCAAGGGCACAGCCTTAGAGTAAAGGGAAGACCTTTTATAATGGAGATAAAGAGAAACTTCTTCAGCCAGAGAGTGGTGAATGTATGGTATTCACTGCCTCAGAAGGTTGTGGAGGTCAGGTCATTGAGTACATTTAAGACTGAGATAGATAGGTTCTTGATTATCAAGGGGATCAGGGGTTATGGGGAGAAAGCAGGAGAGTGGGGTTGAGGAACTTATCAGCCATGATTGAATGGCGGAGCAGACTCGATGGGCTGAATGGCCTAATTTCTGCTCCTATGTCTTATGGTCTTATGGAACGGCAATATACTTCCAAGTCAGGATAGTGAGTGGGCTTGGAGAGGAGTTTGCAGGTGGTGGTGTTCTCATGTATCTGCTGCTCTTGTCCTCCAAGACTGAAGTGATCATGGGTTTGCAAGGTGCTGTCCAAGAATCTTTGGTGAATTTCTACAGCGCATCTTGTAGCTGGTACACACTGCTGCTCCTGAACGTCAGTGGTGGAGGGGATGGATGCTTGTGGATGTGGTGCCAATCAAATGGGTTGCTTTGTCCTGATAGAGTCAAGCTTCTTGAGTGTTGTGGGAGCTACACCAATCTAGACAAGGAGGGAGTATTCCAGCATACTCCTGAATTACGCCTTGTAGATAGTGGGCAGGCTTTGCGGAATCAGGAGCTGAGATACTCAATTCAGGACTCCTAATCTCTGACATAACTTTGTACCCACAGTACCTATCTGGCTAGAATAATTCAATTTCTGGTCAATGGTAAACTCTAGGATTTTGATAGTGGATGATTCAGCATAGATAATGCCATTCATTTTCAAGGAAGCAATGGTTAGATTCCTTCATATTGGTGATGGTCATTGGCTGCCACTTGTATAGCTTAAATCTTACTTGCCACTTGTTAATCCAAGCCTGGACATTGCTTCAATGTTGAAGGAGTCAAGAATGATGCAATCATTGGTGAACATTTCCACTTCTGAACTTATGAGGGAGGGAAGATCTTGATCAAGCAGCTGAAGATGCTTAGGTGTAGGACCTAAGTCCCTGATGTACCCCTGCAATTATGTTGATGACTTGATGACTTAGACTTAGACTCTTTACAGTGTGGAAACAGGTCCTTCAACCCAACATGTCCACACTGACTTTCACAGCATCCCACCCAGACCCATTCCCCATAACCCACCTATTCTACACATTCCTGAAGACTATGGGAATTTAGCATGACCAATCCATCTAACCTGCACATCTTTGGACTGTGGGAGGAAACTGGAGACCCAGAGGAAACCCACACAGACATGGGGAGAATGTGCAAACTCCAGACAGACAGTCGCCCGTGGGTAGAATCGAACCGAGGCCCCTAGTGCTGTGTGGCAGCAGTGCTAACCACTGAGCCACCATGCTGCCCATGTTCTGGGACCAAGATGGCTGACTTTCAAAGTCACAACAATCCCCCTTTGTGAGGTATGACTCCAACCAGCAGAGAGATTTTCTCGTGATTTCCATTAATTCTAGTTTTTGTGAGGATTCTTTAATGTGACACTTGATCATTTGTGATCTTGATATGAGGAGTAATCACTGTCTGGAATTCAGCTGTTCTGTCCATGTTTGAACCAAGGCTATAATGAGGTCAGGAATGGCACTGGCACAATCCAAATTGGGCATCAGTAAGCAGGCTTTTGCTAAGCAAGTACTGTTTTTTTTCAGCACTGTGGATATGCCCTGATGCAGGACAGTGGATTAGAGGAACAGTATTTACATGAGTTGGATTTTTCCTGCTTTTTGTGTGTAGAATGTATCTGGCAACTTTTCAATTTGTGGTCTAGACGCTATTGATATAACTGGAACAACTCGGCAAGAGATGCAGCACGTTCTGGGGCACAAACCATCAGTACTATTGCTGGAATGTTGTCAGGGCTCATAGACTTTACGGTATCCATTGCCTCCAGCCATTTCTTGACATCATTTGGAGTGAATTGAATTAGCTGATGAATGGCATCTGTGATGCTTTAGACCTTTGGAGGAAATGAAGATGGACCATCCACTGGGCATTTCTGGCTGAAATCAAAAGCAAAGCAAAATTGCAGTAATTTAATAACTAATCTTAAAAAACACATTTACCTGTGCTGCTCTCATTGCTCCTTCGCATGTGATTGCTTACTTTAACATGGTGGCTATGTACATTCCCAAATAGACTGCCTTTGCCTTCTCATCATTATTCAGCACCACTTATCTGAAAGTACTTCCATTAGTCTTGAATTACTTCCCTTGAAACTCTCCTTAGACCCTGTATTTTGTTTTCACCACACCTGATTTGGCCAGCTACCAATAACAGATGTGCATTTGGCTCACACATGTCCCCTGGCTCACCTTGTGTACTCTCCCTGGAGCAGTCATGAGTTGGATAAGAAGTTCCTGTGGGCTGGATGAGGACCATAGGTTGCAAGTCTAATTCAGAAAGTGTTAACCTGTATTGGGAGGGATCACTATCCATTGGGATTGTGGAGTTGTTGTGAAGACATAGGCTTGAAGAATGTAATCTGGGTTTGGGTAATTGTCTTTATCAGATTCTTGGTGAAATCATATTCGTACAAATGACCACAAAGTTCTGCAGTGAAAGTAATGCTGCTTCTAGAATTGAAAGATGGTGTTTCCCTAGTGTCAGTGTTGGAGGGCACTCACTCATTTCTTTTGATAAGACTCACCCCAGGTTGGTCTCTTACCTGGAGTTTCTGAGGAGGGTATATTGCTGCCCAACTTCACTGTGATACAGGTTTTTATGGACAGAACTGCACAGGGGTCTGAATGAAATGGGTTACTGTGAGAAATCTGCGAGATCATCTGAGAAATCAGATGAGGCCTTCCTCAACATCAGCAGCATCATCCACTTCCTTGTCTTTTCCCCATAACCCTTTAGTCTCTTACTGATTAAAAAATATATCTTAACCTTGAAAATATTTAACAACCCAGCCTTGACCTGCTCTATAATAAAGGATTCCATAGATTTGGTGCCCTCTGAGAGAAGAAATTTCTCCTCCTGTCTGTTTTAAATGTGAACCCTTAATCCTCAGATTATGCCCTCTGGACTTGGCTCGCCCATAAGGGGAATCAACCTCTCCACATCTACCCTGTTCAAGTCCCCTAAGAATCTCTCAATTGTAAAAATTGTATGCTTCAATAAGATCGCCTCTCATTCTTCCAAATTCCAATGAGTGCAGGCCCAACTTGTTCAACCTGTCCTCATATGACAGTCCCTCCGTACCTAGTATCAGCCTAATGAACCTTCTCTAAGACACAAAATCCACATTTGGCTAATTGATAAATAAAAAGTGCATAACAGACCCTGTCACTGAACATGTTCATTTCAATATTGGCGTGGCCCATGTGTGTACACTTTAGCCTTTGTGGTTCTTTATTCATTTGGCTATGCTTATTGGTTACTGACTAAAATGGTGTCACGTGCATGAAAATATCAACTTTTAGCATTGTCGATATGCCCTTGACTTTTTATAGGGAGGAGAACTGTCAATCAACCAGAATAACCAGCTTAGAGCCAGCAACAGGTAGTGGCAACTGAGCATGTTGTGGGATTTTTTTCCCTTATTCATTCACAGGATGAGAGCACTGTTGGCTAAATAGCATCCCTAGTTGCCCAGAGGGCAGTTAAGAGTCAACCGCACTATTGTGGGTCTGGAGTCACATGTAGGCCAGACCAGGTAAGGATGGCAGTTTCCTACCCTCTAAGACATTAGTGAGCCAGATGAGTTTTTCCAACAATCAGCAATGGATTCATGATCATCATTAGATTCTTAATTCCAGATACTTTTATTGAATTCAAATTCCACCATCTGCCATGGCGGGTTTCAAACCCTGGTCCCCAGAATGTTGTCTAGGTCTCTGGATTAGCAATCCAGCAATAATAACACTAGGCCATCACCTCCCCCATGGTATCATGGCAGAGAGCAAGCAGCAAGCAATTGCATTGTGGATGGAGAATGGAAGCCAAGGGTGGGGAATGCATTGTGCAATTTTTAAGGCAAAGGTAGATAGATTTTTGAATGGTAAAAGAACAAAGGGTTATGATGAGTGTGCTGGTAAGTGGACCTGAGTCCATAAAAAGATCAACCATGATCTTATTGAATGGCAGAGCAGGTTTATGGCCACCTTTCTCCTATTTCTTATGTTCTTAGTTGTGTAATTCAACATT